ATTCCCGAGAAAAACAACTTTCTCCAGTCGAAACTCTGCTCGATTTAAGCCAATTTTTCGTCAAATAAACTCCTTTCCGGGAAACGAAACGCTGTCCGAATCACCACCTATCAAGTGAGTTCATACCCCCGTATTTTCATAATTTCTACTGTTTTAAGGGGGGGAATACAAGTATAACATAAGAACTTTGTGTTATAAAAGCATGATAAAACGACATTAAATCATCAAAAATACTCAAAACATCAAACTCTTTTATAAACTTATAATTTTCCCCAAAATTCATATATATATATATATATATATATATATATATATATATATATATATATATATATATATAAGATTTAAAAGGCTTAGGACTGATAACTCATTCTGGGTCCTTTTCCTTGTTTGGATGTGGGCTTATAGTACGGGTTATTTGTCCGACTGTCGTTTAAATTTTACTTATATGTAGAATTGTGTATGTATATAAATATAAAAGTTATTTCATCAGTTCAAATACCTTTGTAACATGTTGAGCAAGGGGTTACATGCAAAAACAGTTAAATACCGATTCAGAAAGTACATATAAATTATAATAGGTATAATTTATGATACATAGAACAATAATTCATGATTCAAGCATACTAGAATACACTGTTTTACAAGAAAGAAGGGTTTTGATTCAGAACAAATCAAGGGTTTACACTTGTCAAATACATGTTCGGAATAGTAATTCAAGAACATATTGTCAATCATTTTATTTCAGAATGATTGGGTTTTCATGACTAATATACATGTAACGTTTATATTCTTTTTATGAGTCATTCAATTCAGGTTGTTTAATTCATTTAGACAACCAAGGTAAAGCCCTGACATTATAACCAGAATCTCCAGCCAGGGGATCGAAACAAGTTGTGTGTAGATCTATATCGGGATTGACAACCCCGCACTCAGGCTGCTAGCTACAGTCAGGCATACACGCCAATGAGTGGCAATTGTTATCAACAGTTTAAACGCCCACAAAGCGTTTGTTTCAGGCCAACCTGTCTTAGTATGGTTATAATAACTCATTAAAAAGATATTAACAATACGTTAGTGTATAATCAACTAAACGTAAGTACACCTTCAAAGTACCAGTTTACAGAATACAAACTACAATGGTTCAGTACAGTTTTCAATAACAGCTGGTGAAGCCAGGCACACTCTCAGTTACAAGTTTTACAATACAGAACATTGGTTTACAAATAGAACGGTTTTATGGGAATAAAACTACTTTTCATATACAACAGAAAATATAGGATTTTTTGGAACAGTTTACATATGCAAGATACAGAGACACCCTTTTAAACATAAACACTTATGCACTCACTCAACTTTATGTTGATACTCTCTTTTCAAATTACTTGTATTCTCAGGGAAATAATACACAGGTACTCCCCGAGCTTTTTAAGAAGATGGAGCTACTTTGAGTCATATCTTCTTTTGTATAACTATTTTGGTTTCAATATACAATGATTGAACACATGTAAATACTTATACTTTTTAAATACAATGGTTGTTTGTACTTTGATTACTATGATGCATGTGTTGTGATACTACAAATGAAGTCCTCCACCCCCGGACGTTTCCGCCGTCTGGTTTGGGGGTGTGACATGTTTCATTTATATTCACTGTAATGATATTTCAAGATGAAGTCACGCACGAGCCCCCGGACGTTTCCGCCGTCTGGTTCGGGGGTGTGACAGATTTGTCTATCTTCAGAGTGAGGTGAGTTCCTTCACTATACTAATAGGTCAAAGGCATCAATGTCGTCCCACTGGATTATGTTTTTAGAATGATAGTTGTGTTTTTGACAATTATTGCTATGCCTTTACGTGCTTGTTGTTTTTGTGACTCTTGCTGATATGATTATATGCTAGCTGTATGGGTGAAATAGACCCCATACCGGTTGAATGAGACCGAAGGGGGTAAAATAGACCGAATACCAGTTGAAAGAGACCGAAGGGGGTGAAATAGACCCAGTACCGGTTGAAAGAGGTCGAATGGGGTGAAATAGACCCAATATCGGTTGAAAGAGACCAAAGGGGGTGAAATAGACCCAGTTATGTTTGACTGATATGTATATGTATGGTATGGGTTATTTTGGGGAAACTTACCAAGTTTTGTGCGCTTATAGTTTATGTTTGTGGTTTCAGGTACTTCTAGTTCGAAAGGGATGTGCCCGACATGATTGCATCGCATCCACCCATGTTTCCGCACTTATTGATTTTGGGATTTGTACTCTGATGACTATTTTACTATGACATACTTATGATTGGTTTGATGTGAATATTTGATGGTCTGAATTGAATTAAAAATATGAAATTTTTACCTATGATTTTTAGGATGTTATGGTAAAGTTTGAAGAAATAAGCTTCAAGATGTTATCAAACTTTTTTACAAGAATTAAAAGCAATTGACCTGATCTCATAAATGAAGTTTAATAATTCCAATAAAAGATTTAGACAAAAACATGGTGCATACATATTTCGCATACACAGATCATATATACAAGTCAACAATCTGTTTAGCAGTGTCACTAACTTCACCCAAGTATAGATACTCAAATACCTAATCTTTTCTAAGGCATGTGCTTTAGCAAACAATGCTGCATAGGAGGAACTAACTTTAGTAGTACCCACATCTAACTCCTCCTCTAATTCTTCCTTCGAAATCTTTTTAATCCCTTGTAAAGCAAGTCGTATGCTTCTCAGTTCATTGAGTTCAAGGATAATATACATCGCCTTTACACAGTCCTCGTCCATGAAACACCTATGAAACATGGTAACTTGTAAGTCTGTATGAGAGGGTTACATCATATCATTTAGTGAAGGGTGAGAGTAGAAACCTGATTTGTTTTGGTGAAGATCACAAAATGGCATATTCAACAACTTGTCTCGCGATTCTTTTAACCCAAAATGGTACATCCTCGAATTCTTTAATTAGCGTTTGAAGTAATCAAGCCTTCATCAAGTAAAGGTATTAGGCTTCACGAGAATATAGTTTAGACCCTTTTGGATGTTGATAATGTTGGTTAAGTGATTTAAGCCCTTGAATTGTTCTTTGGAGCTAAAGGGTAAAATGGAAAAGTGATATTGATGACATCTTGCATGAATTAAGGAATTTAGTCGGTATGTTTTAAGTCAAAATTAATTAGATAGAATTGTGGGTATTGTCAATATATTCGCGTGCATATAAAGATCACTATAATTGGAGTTAAAACAAAGAACTTATGGTTGTTTGAAGCTGAAGTGAAACTTGGGAAAAACCTGCCACCAGGCGTGGTGAGGAGTTCACCACAGAGTAGTGAAATTGTGCAGCCCAAACCCATTAAATTAGGGTTTGCTTCGTATTTAAAGTCTTCAACCTCTTGTTTTAGGTCATTTTGCAGCCCCCATTGCATCAAGAACCCCTATTTGTAGAAAACCCTAGCCTCTCTTCATAGATCAAGCTGCTTCTTTCTCATCTCATCCATATTCTTGAGTTTTTATGGCTTTTGGGGTGTTGTGTTCTTCAAAGACTTGGTTTTGTCATTATGTTATGTATGGTATATGGTATTTTGATGAACTCACTAAAATTTGTGTTTAAGATTTATGTTTACATGTTTAAGGTACACCTGGTTCCAAAGGGAAGGACCCGACATGATTACACTGCATCCACTAGAGTTTCCCCATTTATGATATTGATATTACTCTGATGTTATTTAAAACACTTTTAATACAATGATTATCTTTTGGGAAGTAATGAATGAATGTTTTGGGTTATTTAAAAATGAAAATTTTACTTATTATTTTTGGGACGTTATATGTAGGGATGTTATTCAGGTCGGAACCGAAACGAACTGACCCGAACCCGAATAACCCAAAAACAGAATAAGGGTAATTGCATGAACCGAAAACCAAACCAATTAACCAATACGGGTTCGTTCGGTTCGGTTATTACCCGAATAACATGTACAAGATGATTAAGGACCTCGTATAACCGAAAAAAAACCCCTGAATAAACCGTATTAGGATTCTACAACCCGAATAATAGAATAATAATGTACTTTTATACAACAACATAAAACATTCAAAGACTAACATAACACAATAACACATTGAAAGAATTACATTTACAAAGTAGATTAACATAATGTGAATTAATTTCTTACTTGAGTTTCTTGAGTTGGAGCCCTATTTTCTATGACTAGGCAAAGTGTGAATTTGTGAATTCTTAGATACAATAGGAAGGGTTGATTTTTGAAAGTTTGAAACAAGAGGAAGGATCGACAAAAGTGATTTCGAGTTTGGAAATAGATGAGAAGATTGGTCGATTTAGAAAAGACAAGAACAAGTGTAGGGTTTTTTTTTTTTTTTTTTTTCTGTTATGAACGACGAGGACAAAAAGGTGAATCATGATTTTGATTTCTGTCGAACAGAAAAAGAGGAGGAATGCTTATTCGGATCGAGTATTTAGAACCGAATAAGTTTTTATTTGTGTAACCCGAACCGAATAACCCGAGAACCGAATAAGCATAATATAGATACCTAGAACCCGAATCAAATTGCTTATTCGGGCCTAGTTTGGTTCGGGTTTTTGGGCCAAATTCTCATCCCTTGTTATATGAACATTGTAGTATTATTTAAAACATATTTAAGTTTATAAAATTGTTACTTTTTGATTGTTAATTTTTGCAATAAATATAGTTATTTTTCAAAAAACATATAAAAACACACAAACAAATTTTCTATTTAAGAAAAAAAAACAAATTTAACACAAAATATTACTTTATTTACAAAAGTCTATTTAAAAAAATAAAAAAAATAACACAAAATATAAAACACAAAACAATACTCTTCGGAATACAACTCGGGTATCCCGGAGGTAACTCCATAGTGCGCTGTTCCGAACTAAGTTGTCATTTTTCAAAAAATTATAAAAATTGATTATTATTAGCAAAAAGTTTGAAGAAATAATCTTTTTTACAACTAAGAAATAATCTGATAAATGAAGTATAAGACGTCCTATGGTGCATGCATATTTGGCATACACAGCTCACATATACAGGTCATACACAACTCACATATACATGTCAACAATCTGTTGAGCAGTATCACTAACTTCACCCACGTGTAGACTACTCAAATACCTAATCTTTTCTAAGGCAGGTGCTTCAGCAAAGGATGCTGCATAGGAGGAACTAACTTCAACATGCTCCTCTAGGCCTGCCTTCAAAATCTTGTTAATCCCTTGTAAAGCAAGTTGAACGCTACCCAAATCACTGAGTTCAAGAATAATATCCATTGCCTTTAAACAGTCCTTGTCCACAAAACGCCTATGAAACATGGTAACTTGTAAGACTGTATGAGAGGAGAGGGTCACATGTCATTTACAAGGGAAGGGTGAGAGTAGAAACCTGATTTGTTCCGGTGAAGAACACAAAATGGCATTTGCAACAGCTTGCCCTGCGACTCTTTTAACCCGAAACGGTGCATCAATGACTTCTTTGATTAGCTTTTGAAGTAATTGAGCCTCGATCACATCCTCAATAACAGCCTAATTATGTTGAAAGCAAGATGGATTAAAATACAAGGAAGGAATCAAAGCCCAAAGGAAAAGGATACGGTGAGCATTACATGTTTGTTTCTTGAAGTGATGATGCTAGTAGTTATTGTATGGCACACTTGCTCTTTCATATTCTTGACTGGCAACAAGTTGGCCAGTTTTGAAAGCAAATCAAGATTTATAAAATCCTCAGTTTGATAAGTAGCATCGTTTGTGAGGTAGATTTTACAAACACAACAAAGTGCAGCATTGGCGACTTCAGCGGGGAGCCGAGGACTGAAGATCACAGAAAATATATAAATGTCAAAAGGGAAGGTGGAAATGGAATCAAACAGTGTTGACAGACAGACCTCAGAAGCTCCAGAAGGCGTTGAGAGACATTGGCAGCAAGCACCGCTTTATGTCCCTCAGCAGTAGCCTCGGAAATATAAAACAGAGACCAGCATAAGTCTGTCAAGACATCTTTGTCTTTCCCCTTGGTCTTGATGAGATCCACAATTACCGGAAGAGCTGCTTTTGTCTGCAAATCAAAAATCAGCTATAAACAAAAAAACAAAAAAGATGAAATATTGACAATACCTGTTCAAATGGAGGAAATGGATATCCCCCGCATAAGTTGGACAATGCCCAACTTACAGCTCTTAGAATGGGATCCTTAGCATCCTTCTCAAGCAACAAACGAAGCAAAGGAGTCAACGCACCGTTGGCAGAAACATGATCACGGCTTTCAGCACAGTCTCCAGCTATATTTCCCAATGCATGAACAGCCTGTAAGATCTTACAAGGTCATAAATGAGAGATTTCCTCCATCTCTGAAATTATGTACCATGCATATAAGCATTTATGTGTTACCTGCTCCTGAACTTTATCTTTTGGAGAAAGTAGAAGCTTTACAAGTACTGGGACAGCCCTGCTCTCTAGGACAACCTTTGTCCACTTATATACTATTCCTGAAGCAATGATAGAAAGACACCCAACAGCTTCAACCTGTTACAGAATGAATAATAATAAGGCTAAAAGCAGATACTCAAACAGAGATGGAAATAATATTAATAGCATTATTACCTGAAGCTCGGCAGAATCCTCCCTACTTAAGAACTCGACAATGCGAGGTACCAAACCAAGTTGTATAACTTTTGCAGTTTGTTGTCGTCCTGTGAAATGAAATGAAACCAATTCAGTGTGTGCATATACATACATACATGTAAAACATATATACCTAACATAAGGCGTTTACGAATTAGGACAGTTCCACCCAGCTGCTGATCTCTATCATTCGAATTTACTTTAGCAGCCATTGAAGCAAGATCCTTTTTACACAAGTCAAACAGATGTGTTTAAGTGAATGAAACAACAATAAAATCCTACGGTACATGAATAATCAGCAATTCGACTTAAGTCCAACACATACATAACAAACCTGCTTCTCGATGTTGGACCTTTCAATTCCATGATCACGGACAGATAGTTCTTTACGCCTCTTAGTCATGCTCACTAGTCTTGAGTTCTTGTGATAATCAGTCATTTGGTAGTAACTCCGGCGACGTGAAACTATATCCGGGGCCGTCATTATCAATATCCAAAACCTTAGATCTGCAAATATAGCTGTTAAAGCAATTGAACGCCTTCATTCCACAAAATCTCCAAACAAATTCGTATGTCAATCAACTCAAACTGAATTAACTTTCTTTTAATTTGGAATGTTTTCTTAATCTGCATAATCCTTGCAACAAATTAGGATGTCCGTCACTAACGAATATCCGGTTCACCTACATGTTACAGTACACACACTACACTCAATTTGTTGCAAATTTCACAATGAATACCAAAACTCAATTGAAAACTAAAATCAAAAACCCTTAACCTTTATTGATTGCAAATAAAAATCAATAACTTGATATATTTTCACTCAACGCACAAAAAAAAAATCCAAAACAAATAAACATATCGATCCATCTATCAAAAATTGCAACCAGCACCATCCTATTCGTCAAACCAACACAAATCAAAGCGAATTTCAAAATTATAAAAGCAAGAGAAAAGAAAACTCACATTACGGCTTACAGCAGTCACTGGTTGTGGAGTGGAGAGGCCTTCGAATAGCAGTCACCCGTCGTTTCCAAATTTCGAAATGCGGATTAGAATGAAAACTAAGAGAGAGAGCGAGCGCAATGATTTGGGACTGTATAACGGCGATTCCGTTTCCCGGGGAATGGCGAACCCTCTGTCGTCTAATTCTTCAGCGAGCAGACCTTGCCACCTTGGTCGGGCGGGCCCAATATATACTTTATCTTTGGACCTAGACCTGATTTTATCTTAAATAAATAAATAAATAAATAAATAAATCGACTCAGCATCCTAACACAGATCCAATTTGATCCGGTATAAAAACTGGTATGGTATTTGAACCGGTTGCTTCTATGACTTTCACCCGGTTTCAAAAGCTATTTAAAAAAGACAAAACTGTATAAATGGTCTTAACGGTTTGTTGAAAATTGTCACTTTGGTCCAAAAATGTTTGGACTAGCACCAGAGGTCCAAACTTTTCATTTTGTTGCGAGTTTGGTCCAATTTACTATAAACTTTTTCGTAATAACGAATTTGCCCTTATTTTTTTCTTTTTCAGTTTTTTCTTATTATTTAAATACTTTTCTGATTAAAAGAAAAATAAAAAGAAAATTTTCCTTTTATATTTTACTTTTTATAACATAAAAATAAATAGAAAATGAAAATGCAAACTCTCTCTCTTTCTCTCTCCCCCTCTCTCTCTCTCTCACACATACACACAAAGTTGCACTTCTCCTTCACCACCAACCACCACCACCGACGATGGAGGCTTCCGACAAAGCCCGTTCCGATGTTTGAGGCTAGGATTTCTGGAAACATAGATCTGGGAAAGGGGCGAAGGGAGAAGGACGAACTGAGAAGATAGATGAATTGAATCAGGTTTGCTAGAAATCGAGAAATTATTGGCAAAATATGAGAAAATCGTTTTTCCGACGAACAAGAAACCCTCTGAAGGACGACGAACAAGAAACCCTCTAACGACGACGCCCCTTTCTCAGATCTACGCCATGTTTTTCAAGTTTCTTAGGATCCAGATTAAAACCCTAGATGCTCAGTAGATCTTAAAGATGAAAACCCTAATTCCGGATGAGAAAGTGTGACAACCCGAAAATTTTTTGTTTTAAAAGCTCAGTCAGTCAACTCAACTGAGTGTCAGACTCATTGGTAATGAGTTCTAGCATGGTTAAAGGTCATTCTAAGGAGTTTTAAGCCTAATACCCTCAAGGAATGAGTGTTAGGAAGTACCTGCTAGAACCACAGTATAGCATGTAAGCCTTAAACTCCATCAAAAGGAGTTTACGTCCAAGTTACCAAGAGTTTACGGCCATAAACTCAAGGGGGCCGTAAACTCACCTCTACATATATAAAACTTGGCCATTTTTCTCATTCTTTCTTTCCTTGGCCGATTTTCTTCAAGTCCTCTCAAGTATCATCCAACTTTTTCATCCAAGATCTTCATATATGTAAGTATTCTATCCTTTGATTAGTTGATACCCCTTCTTATCTAGCTTCATCCATGTAAATCAACTTTTCTTAGATCTTCAAGTTTCACCAAGAACACACACTAGTGTTCTTGGCTAAAATCAACCATTTCAAGCCTCTATATCGTAAGTACTCTTCCCTACACTTGATATCTAGTTAGGACTCATGCTTAGAGCCTTGAAAACATAAAAAACACAAGAACAAAAGGAGTTTACGGCCAAGCCATCTCCCATGGCCGTAAACCCCTTTAAGGGCGCCATTTTGGCCATAAACCCTCCTAGATGCAAAGCTTGTGACCTAGAACCCTTCATTGATGAGAATAGGACCTTAAACTACTCTCATATGAATAATGACCATGAGTTTACGGCTGTAAACTCCTTTGGGCCGTAAACTCATCAAAAGCCTCCTTTATGATGGTCTTTCTCATCCTTGTGTAAAGCAAAAGTCCCTCAAGCTTCCCTAGCCTTCAAACAAACACTTATGCATGTTTGACCATGAGTTTACGGCCGTAAACTCCCTTTGGCCATAAACCCATGTTAGTAAACTTAAAGAAGTACCATTCCACCTTCCTTTGATGAATCACATGTGATTCCAACACTTGGTCAAAGTGTTTCCTAGTCCCGGAAGGTGTTTCCTTTCATATAGTTGCTTATAAACACTATATTCATGCCAATATATGTCATTTAGGACTTATTGTGTCTCGGGACTTCATTCGTGGAACTTCTCATCCTTACACGCGTATTCGTTGAATCACCCACATTAGGTGAGTTCATACCCCGTAATGAATCTTTTAACTATCTTAAATGCTTTTAAGGGGGGAATACAAGTTGAACACAATGATAATTGTGTAATTGTTTGTTATAAACATCTTTCAAAATGTTGCTTATGTCTTTTATAAGTGATCAAAACATTTCAAAAACTCTTTTAAAGTTATGTTACTTTATAGTTAATCAAACTCCGTTTTTAAAGTACAAACATAACTTAGTAGATAAATGAGTAGTTTCAATAACAGTTCAAGTAAAACATTAGTAAACTATAATAGGTATAGTTTAGGAAGATACTATTCATTACTTATAGTACAATGAAGCATACAAAGAGTCAGTTTATACATGAGTCAGAACATACTATGATGAGAAACAAACAGAACATACTATGATGAGAAACAAACAGAACATACTATTATGAGAAACAGAACAAACATACTAAGTTCTTATAGCATGGAACTACTACAGGATCTAATTATACCAATGAATCACTAACTCATTGTTTTAAACAAAAGGTGATAGTTATATTGGGTATACATGATCATATAACTTTAATGTGAATTACACGGCTTGCAAGAATTTGCAGAGGTCGCGTTTGGTTCCCTTAATCTCTAGACAGGGAGAGCGTTTAGTAGGGGTACTAGCCTTCACATTATGACCATAATAAAACAAACATGTTTTAGGTCATCAGTACATCCGTATGTCATTATAAATGACAACTGTGTACTTACATCTCCCATTACTTTCATAAAAGTGACAGTACCACTTGAAAGTCAATACAAACTATATTTTTGGTTAATGATAGTCTCACTTGGGAAAATATACAACTCATGCAAGAAACAAACACACATAGCATTAGATGCCTTGGTAGAAGGCTACGTTTAGTAGAGAGGACCATAATGCTAACCTTATGATTCCTTAATATAACACCCAATATGAAATATTAAGGCTAGGACCCAACACAATATTTTATAAATTGGAAGAGGGATGCCGTAATCCAAGCTATAAAATATTTGAAGGTAGGTGAATGACGATTCACCAATTTCCACCATGAAAAACGAAATAAATTATTAAGTTTTAATTGGATTTGAAACTCCTAGATCTTTTGAGATTCATTGAACTTTCAATGGCATGTTTCAATCTCGATTGTGCCCTTCAGATTTTGTGACTGGGATGCCGAGGATCACAAAACAAGGTGTGAATAACCATGCAAATTCACTTGGTACCCTTAATATTATCACCTAATCAATGTGTCGGTTAACCACACACGCTCCACCGATCTATGATAAACATTAAGTCACCCTTCGTGATCCTTACTAGTCCAAGTTAGTGTGCCGGTTAACCACACACGCTCCACCAACGACTTGGTAAGGTACAAAGTGTGAATTTCATGGGTTAGCACCATATTCACATTTTCCTAAAGTAACTAAGATTGAGAATCATAAAAATATTTAGTTACTTTATAATAATCCTCATACTTTTTAATGAGAATTAAAGTCATTGTCCTACCCATTCGGCTAACGACCCTCCACCGATCAAGGAAGCGGTGGGTGAGAGTGGACACACATTAAGTTGCCATTTTATAGGCAACAACCTTATACCCCCCTTATAGACCGGTTTCGTGAATGAGGCCTACTAACGGTAAAACGACTTAATCTTATAATATGTATAATAATTAACCATTAATGTTATAATGTATAAGGGTTGAATTTTAACTTTTAAAACTCTAGGGTATGGAATTAAAGTTTGTGTGAGACTTTACAAATTCCAAAACTTGAGGGCAAGTTTTGAACAATTCAAAAACTTTTGGATATTCATAACTTATGAGTTTTAATAAAGGTTTAATAAAGTTTTAATGAAGAGACTCTTGGACATCCATAACTTGAGGACAAGTTATGGAGTCCATAAAACCATTTATGTGAAAAACTCTTCAAAAGTGTAACTTATAACTTCTTTAAATAAACCTTAAAAGAAAAAACTTTTGGAATTCCATAACTGAGGACAAAGTTATGGAGTCCATCAATGTCATAAAGATCAAGAATTATACTATCAAACAATTTGCACATAATTCCTATGATCTACCAAAAGTCATAAGTTCATGAACATTCATAATCAACAACTTTCAAGAATCATATAAACATATATAAACTTGAAACTTTGATTATAACTTTGAAATTGGTTCACCACAATCATTACCACATCAAAAACAGGTTTTACAAGTCTAAAACAGTTTAAGGTAATGATTCTAGACCAATTCCAGCACAAAATCTCGAAAATCTGCACTCAGGCCTGCCAACTCGTCGAGTGCATGAACTGACTCGGCGAGTTGGTTGAATATATGCATGAACTCGGCGAGTTCCATGAGGGACTCGGCGAGTCAGCTGTGCAGAATGTAGTTTTTCGACATTTTTCAGCTATTTGCATCAAGTATTCAAGAAAACAAGCCTAGGCTCTGATACCACTGTTGGGTTTTGAGCATTCTAACACTTCCTAAGTGTACATGCAACCCTAATAAACCTTGGATCTATGTTTGTCTAAAATACATGCAAAATTTGTTTTCCAAGGTTTATAACTTATCTAGCATGGCATGGAGAACTTTTAAACATAAAAGAACTAGATGAATTACATACCTTTGATTGTGAATTGATTCCTTAGGAGTTTGAGAGCCAAGCACCAATAATGTGAATGCCTCAAATGGAAATCACAAATCACCACAAACTTGGAAAACTTATGAGAGAGTATATCTATGCTCTAGAAATCGGCCACCTTTCTTCACACACACTAGGGTGTCATTTCATGCATCACAAGCTTGTTTATATAGTGCACATGATTAGGGTAAACCCTAATAACCCATGTCTTTTCCTTTCCAAGGATCCATGAGTTAAAAGCTCCATGGATCATCCATGGACTCCCATATAAGCTTAGCCCATTA